TTTGGTAAAGCTATTAAAGCCTGTTTAAAAATTTGATGGAACTGCACAAATTCACTGTAATCTGATTTGTTACCAGTGCTGATAAACACCCTCAGCAGCCTGGTGGGAATCATATCAAAAGCACATTGAATATCTAAGCCCTGGGAATTGGAACTAAGCCCTGGATAACATCCACTGTATCATTCAGATGTATGATAGAGAGTGTTTTATGTCTCCTTAAGACACATAAATGAAGCAAGGCACGTGGGAAAGTTGCCAGAGGATTGTGTTGACTCCCAGGTGCACATAGAGATTTACAAATGCATAAGACTTGGGGCGTCGGGGGGGGGGGTCAAGTTCTTACCTTGTGTAACTTCATTAACTCAGTTGAATTGCTCAAGGGATGACTTGGCCCAAGGTGTCTATCCTGGTCAGCTTAAGTCAGACAGACAAGTATGATATGTGGGGGAAACAGCAGTTCAAAGATAGTAAGGGAATAAAATTGGCATGGAAATCAATGCAAAAGAAGTGATTAAGGAAAGATTTTGAAGAGGAAGGATGTTTAGCTTACAGGAAAAGAGACTGTTCCAAGTGTGGGGGCAGCATGAAACGAGATGTACAGCCAAGTGTGGGAAGGGAAAAGGGGAGCAGTTACAGGAGAGGATTTGGGAGGAACATATGGAATGAGAGGGAAAGAAGGGTGAAATTAGAGACAAAATGTAGACAGATGTGAAACTGTGAAGAGACTGGAAGTTGGGGATTAGAAGCTTGAACTTGAGGCAGTACAACAGAAAGTTAATAAAGGGATTCAAGGATGGGGAGACGTAGTTGGAATGTCAGAAAAGCAAGGTGGATTTTATCATATGCATTTCAGTTATATTAGAATGTGGCAAATATAAAGAGGTTATATTTTAAGAAAAGTCGTTATCTAGACACTGTCCAGATATTTAGGAGTAGGGAGTAGAGGAAAGGATGATATTTTGTGATTTTTAGAGGGAGACCTGGAGGTGTTGCAGATGAGTCTGAGATTTTGAACCTGGATTCCCAGGGAAGTGGTAGAGGTAGAACAGTCAGCAATGATAATGAAGGGTGGGAGTCTAAAGATTTTGGGAGAAAAGTTCAGTTATAGACATGTTGAACCAAATACTGAAGCAAATGTATGTAGCTATAAGGAGCAAGTTACCCCTAGGTGGCCACATGAATTCTCTGCACCTGGCCAACAGGGGATGTTTGAGTATGTTGGGATGGAGGGGTGGGGTCAGACTAACCTGCATCTGTTCTGTGGGTGGAGAACTGATGAATATGAGTACTTGACACTGATCCTTGGCCAGGCCTAGGTGACTCCAATATTAGATGTTTAGTAGTTATAAAAACCCTACAACAATAAGAATTCTTGTAAGGATCCACAAGACTAGAATCCAGGTGTGGGGCAGCTGACATTCTCACATCATCACTGGGAGGCCATGCAGAGCGACATCCAAAGAGCACTGTGGAGATTAGGCACTTCAGGGAGTACCGCCCAAAAGGTCCTGAGTGACAGCACCCTGTGGCCTTCTGATTGGCCCATGGTCACTATTTAACCATGGATAGTGCTCCAGGAAGTTGTTTGGGCAGCTATGCAGGGTTCTGTGACTCCAGACTTCACGTCACTTGCTGATTTCCAATTTCTGACCCCAGCCTGATGCTAACCCTGACTCTTGCCTCATGATTCCAGCCTGGTAGCTATCTCTGACCCTGGCCTAACTCTGATCTTGACTCTTGCCTATTGATCCTGGCTTTAAGCCATTACTCTGCTCCCTGCTCCCTGACTACTGACTTGTGACTGATACTAGTCCAGCTGTGGCTGATAGGTCAGACCACCTATACCTGTGTGGCTGCAACAGGGGAAGGACAGAATAGGTTCCTTAATTATTTCAGGGAGAGGATTTGGAGTCAGTGAGAAGATCACTTTTTATCTCTCTGCTAATAATTGCCAAGTGGAGATTTTTAGCACAATAGGCCCCAATCATTGAGTTTTCATCTGGGTGATTCTTCCTGATGCAATGTGGCCCCTTTAAGAAGGAACCTTCTCCGCACTTATGGAGTGTCAGTGTATCTCTGTGACGTTGCACTCTATATGATTTTATGAAAATATGCTAATGAGTGTGAATATAATGTAACTGGAATATGCTTCATGCAAAAGGTCTCTTGTAAGGTATAATTACAAAGCTTATAATCTACTGAGTGTGGTCATCCAATTTGTATAAATGTATCATTCTTGTATCTGAAACTAGAAATATGAAATATAATTCTGAGGTCCCATTGTAATTATGCAAAGTTTGGGCCATTAATCATAGAATCGTAGACTATCAGGGTTGTAAGGGACCTCAGGAGGTCATCTAGTCCAACCCCCTGCTCAAAGCAGGACCAATTCCCAACTAAATCATCCCAACCAGGGCTTTGTCAAACCTGACCTTAAAAACCTCTAAGGAAGGAGATTCCACCACCTCCCTAGGTAACCCATTCCAGTGCTTCACCACCCTCCTAGTGAAAACGTTTTTCCTAATATCCCACCTAAACCTCCCCCACTGCAACTTGAGACCATTACTCCTTTTTCTGTCATCTGGTACCACTGAGAACAGTCTAGAGCCATCCTCTTTGGAACCTCCTTTCAGGTAGTTAATGATGGCTTGGAATCTTGATGGCTCCCATTAACGAGGACAGTTGGTTGTAAATGGCTCTGTTTACTTGCAAGTCTTCCCATATATGTGTGTGCTGGCAAGTGGGTGATGAAATCTTATAGTGACATGAACTGGAATCCATCTTTAACCTGGTGCTTTTCCATTTAGAAGGAGGGGTGGGAATCCAGAGAGGGACAAAGGATTCCCGCCTTGTGCAAAAGATGTATAAGGGGGTGGAACAGAACAAAGGGGGCGGCTGTCATGAGAAATCCCCTAGCTACTACCTGAGCTGGAACAAAGACTGTACCAGCCCAGGGGAAAGGATTGGGCCCAGATTAGAAAGGAGTCTAGTCTGTGAAAGAAGCTGATTGGAACATCTCTGAGGGTGAGGTTTCATCTGTAATCAGTTTCTTACTGTATTAGGCTTAGACTTGCATGTTTTTGTTTTATTTTGCTTGGTAATTTGCTTTGTTCTATCTGTTATTACTTGGAACCACTTAAATCCTACTTTTTATATTTAATACAATCACTTTTTGTTTATTAATTAACCTAGAGTAAGTAATTAATTCCTAGGGGAGCAAACAGCTGTGCATATCTCTCTATCAATGTTATAGAGGGTGGACAATTTATGAGCTTACCCTCTATAAGCTTTATACAGAGTAAAATGGATTTATTTGGTGTTTGGATCCCATTGGGAACTGAGTGTCTGGGTGCTGGAGACAGGAGCACTTCTCAAGATGTTTTCAGTTAAGCCTGCAGCTTTTGGGGGATGTGGTTCAGACCTGGGTCTGTGTTTACAGCAGGCTAGCGTGTCTGGCTCAATAAGACAGGGTACTGAAGTCCCAAGCTACCAGGGAAAACGGGCTCAGAGGTAGTCTCAGGACATCAGGCGGCAGTCCCAAGAAGGTTTCTATGACCCAACCTGTCACAACCTCACTGCATCCTTCCCAATGCCCTGACTGCTAACTGTGGACCAGCCTGACTGTAGATGGCAGTTGGGCTGGGCAGAGAAGAAATCAGTTGACTATGTAGGTGCAACATGACTCTTTGGGGGATCAGCATTGACTTCTGTGATAGCAGAGCTGAGAGCATGTACGCTGCACAGTATTGAAGCAGCTGGGACAGTTACAGGATATCCAGGAGGAAAAAATAATTATGAAACTTATTGGTTCTCAGAGTTAATGTTTATCACATTCCAGTCATTTTGTTCCCAAAGCACATTATAAAGTTGTAGACATTAAAGAGCAAAACTAGTACAAACAACTGGCTTAAATGGAGGGTCTATAAACCTCTGCTTTGTTTGGAGACTTACAGCTGAAAGCTTTACAAATCTGATCGTGTGTCCACCCTGTGGGTCTTTTTTTTACCTAAAAGTACACATCTCGGAGTTTCGGTGCTTATGAGGATTGATTACAGAGGGATGTTGAAAGTTAGACTCCAAAGCATTTTCAACAGCTCCAAAATAAAGATCAGAAATAACACATGCATGTGTCTTCACTACAGTGTTAAGGGAGGGTTACAAATGGTGAATGCACTCAACTTGTATAAAATCAGCTGTATTGACTTATACAGGGCTCCTAATCATTTGGCACTTGAGGGGGCAAATATAGTACTATTTTTAAAAATACTAAATGATTTGCACCAATAGCTACTAGGGTATGTTAAACAATAGTTAAGAGGCCAGTAGAAAGAGTTGCATTTTTATGACTTATTCCCAGCAAAATTAAAACAAGAGTACCCACTCTGCTGAAATTACTGATTAATACTATATGTGCTCCAAGCCTTCAGACTGCATTTAGCTATTTTTACAATACAAAGGGATATTGCATACAAAGCTAAAGTGAGTGGAGTAAGAGCAGATATACAGCATGTCATTTCCATTGGGTCTGAGGGGTTTTGGGTGGGGGCACAGGAGGAGGGACTTTGTTCTATATTGTTTCATTTATATTGCAAAAATTGATTTTAGGTTTTTGGGAATTTGAAGGGAAGGGGCACTGGGGACTGAAGGTTGGGGAGACAAGGGAATTGTTGGATTAGAAGGGGGTTTGATGGAGGAGCGGGAGGTAGAAAAGGAAAAGGAAGGTGACCCACATAACGGACAGCGAGAGAGAGAGGTTGGAGAGCTGAAGGGCTGCAGTATAGGAGGGGGCAAGAAGGAGGAGAACCAACTAACAATAGGAATACAAGCAAGTGATAACAGTGGATTTTCACTGGGAGTTTTGCCTGGATTGGGAGTGCAGGATTGGACCCTAAATCTATAAACAATTTTTAAATGCAAACTGCAGTTTATGTAAATAGTGTTAAATCCATCAAAACTAGAAATGTTCCTTGAACTTACACTGTGTACTATCTTACTTGCAGAAGCATGATGGACACTTCACAGTCATCCAGCTGGTTGGCATGCTTCGTGGAATCGCATCTGGCATGAAGTATCTCTCAGATATGGGCTATGTACATCGTGATCTGGCAGCCCGTAATATTTTAGTCAACAGTAACCTCATGTGTAAAGTCTCTGATTTTGGTCTGTCACGAGTGTTAGAGGATGACCCTGAAGCTGCTTACACCACAAGTGTGAGTGTCTCTTATCTAATTTGAACAGTTTATTAAGTTGTGTAAACTGCATTTGTTTTATTCCTGTTTCAACCGCATTTGCGCCTCAGACATAGTAGTCTGGATTGACTGTTTTGTTTCATTAATAGTGTGTGGGGTTTGGATAACTGGGCTGCTTTTTAAAAATGTAATCTTCATTGAAGGTTTTTAAGTAATGCTTAAGCCGCCAGTTTTCTTATCAACCAGCGTTTTTCTCTTCTCTCTCTCTCCACTCCCTTTTTCCCCACTGTAGCAGAGTGGTCCATCCAGTCAGCAGGCTTAGTGGTCAGGGCCTGCTGCTCTAGTCTCTCTCTCAGTTCAGTGTGTGAGGGACCCCCTGAACAGGGTTCAGCTGGGTCAGCTTTCTTGTCAGTAGCACCCTAGTCCTGCCTGTCTTAGGACTAGGCATAGGGGAATTTGTAGGTGGTAGAGTAGCCCAGGTCCTCCCATTCCACCAAGTCCCAGGCTAGGGCCCTGAAAGTGTGACAGCACCGCCTGACCTACACTTGGCCCACCTCCTGTTCACCTTCCCCAGCCACTTCCTACCCCACCCAATGTCTCAGTTTGGGGCACGGCTGCTGTTTGATAATAGTCCTTGTTCCAAACCCCCTGAGTCTTGGACCTGATGCAGGCAACCCTCTGGTGCCCGGCACACAGTTCTCCCTATATCTGGCGGGTGTGGGGGGAACTTCACAGCAGGGCCGCCTCAGTAAGCACTCCTTTACCTCCTGGAAATGGTTTCTCTCCACCCCTACTACCTGGGCTGCTGGAGCTCTTTTTATACTTCTCCTTTCCCCAGGAACATGCTTGCCAGTGCCTGAGGGGCGGAGTTTTCCTGGCCCAGTACTGCTCCAGCTTTTTTCTTGCCTTGGCCTTAGTGATAGGTTTGTAAACCCCATCACACTCACCCACAACCCCGGCATAAATTTGCAAAGGCATGCCTTTTTAAAAAGTGAACAAAAATTCTTACTGATTCCTTTGAACCACATGAAACATTTGGTCATTGTTTTCTATGTAAAATCCATTCTGACATAATTGGATCATATGCAAGTCTTTATACTGTGTTTGTGATCACCTTTATTAAGCATTCGGACATTTAGCAATTTCATATGGACTAGCTTGTTTTTGAACTATATGGTAGTATAGCAATATGTTGACTTATTCAGTCCCCTTAAAACCCTTAACAAGCTTGCTAGTTTATAATTTTTCTTCACAGGTTATTCCCTCAGTATCAAATTAATAAAAATATCTTGTGTTAACTACTTGTGGCCATTTTAAAATTAGAGACATGGGATAACTTACTATGCTGTTAACGTTATGGATCCATCTACTCAAACATGAATCACAGTTTAGCTTTTTTAACATATTTTTTCAGCTGTTAACTTTGTTTTGTTCATTGGAAAGTTTGCCAGCATCTTCGTAATGGCATTTTTACACATTGCTGTGATGAAGGCATGCAGTGTTGAGGAAGATTAAGTTGATCTTGTACCTTTTTTGACCGATATTGGCATCCAATGATCCATTGATATTATCTAAAATCTTCTGAAAAGTATCTTACAAGAGATCTGAGCTCATAGGTACTCAGGAGTCTGGAACTCCTCTTCAGTGGGAATTCCATGAGTGGAAGAGCTGAAGGATCAACACCCCCCCCCCGCATTTATACTTCAAATATCTAATTATGTTGCTCAAGTTTACCATCTGAAAGGGAACTGACCTTGTTTTCAAGGTTGAAGCCTCTTCACATTAATACTGAAGTGCATTATGCTATAAAAGTAAACGTTGGCTATAATGAAGAATACTTTTTTTAAAATTCTCGAACCTGGAGAACACTGTTCAAACTTGACTTATACAACATATAAGATATACAGGATGTGCAATATGAGGGGAATAAGAAATTGAGTATGTTGGTGTGTCAACAGAAGTTCCATGCTGAATGACAGTCTTTTCGGTACAATAAAATTTTAAGTCCCATTTTATAATGATTACTATATTAAGAATCTTAACTAAATATATGCTCATTTCAAATAATGTTAATCTGCAACATAGAAATTAAAATGATTACACAAATACACAGCATATTCTAATTAATAGAGTATCCTTCCAGAATGCCCATAGACTTATGGGTTCCCATCATAAGGATCAGAGACAAAATGACAGGTTTCAGAGTGGTAGCTGTGTTTTGCTGATATAGACCTCATAGTCTGTATCAGCAAAAACAATGAGGAGTCCTTCTGGCACCTTAGAGACTAACAAATTTATTTGGGCATAAGCTTTTGTGAGCTAGAGCCCACTTCATCAGATGCATCTAGCCCACCAAAACTTATGCCCAAATACATCTGTTAGTCTCTAAGGTGCCACAAGGATTCCTCATTGTTTTTGCAGAGACAAAATGGCTACTCGACCTATTCTTTAACATAGTTTCAGTTTAAGACGTGGTTTGCAGCCACAGTGTGGAACTGATCTAGTGTATTGTAATGACTATTCTGTTTGTCCTGCTGAATTCACCGCAGCGACCATAATAGGCCTAGGGTTTTGTAAAACAACAGGTTTGTATGTCTATTTGGTTTTAAACCAAAGAATGGTTTTTGAAATTCTACATGCTGACATTCTTTCAAAATGTTGCTGGCATTTACTGAAAGCGTTTCAGCACACTGAAAAAAATTAAAAGAAAGTCAGATATGTCCAGTCTCAAAGTTCTTGTAATACACCACTTCCAGCATTAATATTCTATACACAAAAGACTCATGAAACTTTGTAGTTTATTCCATTGTAAATGTGCTTCTCTTGTTTATTTCTTAAACCCTTCTACTGAATATTGCCGGGGTTCTCAAACTGGGGGTTGCGACCCCTCAGGGAATCGTGAGGTTATTATCTGGGGGTTCACGAGCTGTCAGCCTCCACCCCAAACCCCACTTCACCTCCAGCATTTATAATGGCGCTAAATATAAAAGAGTGTTTTTAATTTATAAGGGGGGGGTCGCACTCAGAGGCTTGCTGTGTGAAAGGGGTCACCAGTACAAAAGTTTGAGAACCACTGGAAGATAGTGATGGCTGGAGGAACAGATGCAGGATTACTTACTGCTTTTATTCTTAAGGCAAGTTATGACTGGTTAAAACCACTGGGAAATGGTAGACCATTTAACCAAAAATAGGAATTTTCCCCTATTCAGTGTAAAAAAAATCATAGAACCTTAGAAAGTTTTCAACTGCTTTATCTATTCAATAGATTTTAACAGATATAACTATTGAGCAATTGTTCCATATGTTTCATAGAGCTTTGATTTTATTATATGCCTGCCTTTTTGGTTGTAGTATTGTAGTTTTGCAATAATGAGGAAAATCATTGTAAAATCATGACATGCTTTAGACTACAGCACATATGTCAGATATTTTTATGTCTGTTTGGTCAATCATTCACACTGGGTAGAGAGTTGAACAATGATAGCCTTTATCCACAAAGGCAGCTATCCTATACTTAATAGTGCTAAAGCACAGCATAATACACAAAGCCTTTTGCTTGAAAACTGTCCAAACAGCATTATAAATGGACTTGACATGCCTTCTGCATCACTCTTTCCTGCATTTGAGCTCTTTTTTGAGACTAGAATTGAAGAGAAGGAGAGATCGCTGCATGTCAGACTTCATTAATTGAGGATACCCACAAAATGGCTTTGTGAACCTCTAAACATAAAAGTTGGGTTCACAAAACTAGTTTGGATTCATGAACCCTTTTACCTATAATTTAAAGTCATGTGATTTCCTTCTTCTCCCCCTCCCCATGGAGATTTTCCTCCCCTTCTTTGTTATTTGGTAATCGGATCACTGGTTGCTTGGTTTTAATACCTAGAGTCATGGCTGTATCCTTAAAGAACAGAAAGGTTAATAATTCAGTTTGGGACATATGATCAGCATACAGAAAGGAAGGGTATGTATATCCTAAGAGTCAAATCAGAAGCTAATCTCCGTGATCCCAGTTCTCCTTCTTCCCAGGAGACACAAGGTAGAAGAACCTACATTCGTTACTGGGAATAATGGTTTCAGCCATAGATTGATGATAAAAAAAAAAGTGGCAATATGCCACGAGAGCATGTGACTGTAGCCCAGGAAGCCTTGAGCTCCCTCTCTATTGTCAATACAGTTGAATTGCAGCATTCACCTGACAAGTATAGCAAAATGTACTCTCATAATGTGTTCTCCTCAGCCACACAAGCTGGTATCAGTTTCCTAAAGGCTTTGACTCCAGATGAAGCAGAGAATAATATCAGCATCCTGGAACTTTGATTAGTGAGGCTGGCCCTGAGAGCCCTTCAATGAATCTTCTGGAAATAAAACATTTTTCTCTGACCAGACAACTTAACCATGATATCATATGTAAATCAGCAGGGGCCACAATACGACTATTCTACACCAAGATCTTATACAGCTCTTCCACTTGGCAGTTATTTACATCCAATCCATCAGGACACTGCACATAATAGAGGTGACATGCACAAAATCTGATGAGTTCATTAGGACTCTCTTGAAATTGTCGGTCCTTAAGCAGGTCTTAAAGTTAACGCAAGGGAAGATCCCAAGGTGGACTCTCTCACATCTGTGTCCAAACATCTTACAGAATGCATTTTCTCTGATCCCCCTTTCTGCCTTGGGTAATGAAGAAGATAAAACCAGGACACAAAGTCACCTTATAGCACCTTACTGGCGAAGACATAATTCGTTTTCTGACCTAGTTAAGATGTCAGGAGGAAACTAATTTTTTCCCAAATGGCCAAGACCTCATTCACTCAGGAGATGATACCTCGCAAAAACTTGACAAACCTGATCTTAGCAGTGTGGTTCTTAAGTAAAAAATTATAAGCCCATTATGTTACTCACCAAAAGTCATAAATATTCTCTTGTAAGCCAGGAAAATATCCATTAACAGAATCTACTGATGCCTGGGGTAGCTTTTAGGCATCATGCTAACAGAAAGCAAAGAAATCAGT